GTGACTGCATGTAGTTTTTTCTTGAGGAGTGGCTTTTTTCTTACAACCCTCCCATACAAGCCCAATTTGTGGAGAATTTGTGATATTGTTGTCAGATGCACACAATGACCACTCTTTGTCATAAATTCCTGCAGCTGCTTCAGAGTTACTGTAACTTGGTCGCCTCTCTTTCATCAGTTTGGAGTGATGTCCTGATCAGGGAGGGTCTGTGTTGTACCAAATACCTTCCACTTCTTAATAATAGACTTCACTGTGCTTCTAGGCATTTATAAAGCCTTTGAAAGTTTTTTTTATATCCATCTCCTGACTTGTGCCTGTCCACAACTTTATCCCGGAGATCTTTTGACAGTACCTTGCCACCCATAAATGTTTGTTTGCTTCAGTTGCACAGTTACCAAGGACTGAAATGCTCCAGAAAAGCTATTTTCATGCTGAGCAAATCAAAATGACCACAGCTGAAAGTCAAATGCCCTTGTGTGCCATTTTTAGGAGGAGGCTGATCCTTTTTCCAACTCAGTAATTCTGTTTTTTCTGTTCTTTTCTATACCCACTGTATTCTTACCTTTAGGGAGGCCAAGCTGCTGAAGTTCACTGGAGAGAGATTCACTGTCCACGTCATGCTTAGCAGCACTGGACAGAATGAAACTCAGCACTGCTATACCGGCTTTAATGTCTCCACTTTCTGGAAAAAAAGAAAGAAAAGAAAAACAGACAAATTAGCAAGAGATATGGCATAAAATACCAACAGATAAGACAATTATGTAAGAATGCATAAAATATCGGTACCATATCAGTTATCAGCCAAAATGAAAGAAGTTATAATAATTATCAGTAAATAATTCATTCATCTATTTTATTTATAAAGCACTTTTAAAAGGTATATAATGGATATTTAATTGTGCTGCTCATTTCCTCGATTTTTACATTTAAATTATCTTTGACATTATCTAATGTTCAACACTATTGCTTAACACTAATAATTTAAAGCTGCAGTCCATAACTTTTGGCGCTCTAGCGGTTAATAAACAGAACTGCGTGCGTCTTGCGGAAGAACATTGTAGCCGGAGCTACTTCTCTCTGTTTATGTCTATGGCGAATCACGCAGGTACTGGGCTACTCCGCAACGGTACCTACCCGAACCAGTCTAAATAGTCCGAATATAAACACTTATTATAGGTGTACCGTAGTGATTCAGGACAAGCCAAAAACACGGTTTGGAAAATGGATTCATGGTGTACTCGCTTATTATATAAATTTTGTAAATTTTGAACACAAAAAAGTTACAGACTGCAGCTTTAATAACATTGTTAAATGTGTCTTTAGCAAATCTCAAATATCCATTTTTCACAGTGTACATTTTAATGTTGTGATGCTTAAATTCACTTGTAGGCTGTTTGACTGACTGACTGATTGATTGACTGATTGATTGATTGACATCAACATCAAATAATTCATGGAAAACTCAACAATAATAAGATTTAAACTAGTCTTAACAGTTATTTTCACCAACAAACAAAATTAAAATAAGTAAATAAATTATATTTCCCCAGGAGTCATTTTCCTTTAAAATGTTCATTAATGTACTTGGAGTATAAATGTTTCCTAGTATCATTTAAAACATGACACTCTAATACAATTCTTTAGCATTAAAAACTACTCATTTTAGTTTTTATATTTGATTTAATATTCCATTATTTAATATATATTGTAGAATTTTGATATCAGCCATAACATAAAAAGATAAGCTAATCAGTACTGGCCAGAATCATATTGGGAATACCTAACTTGATTTATAGTCATTCATTTTATTTCACACTTTACAATTACTGAGATCACATGACCCAAAAACTGTTATTCACTCACCAAACTTTGCATCTGAGGTTAGTTTTGAAACTTTGTCATACTGAAAACAGATCAACAGATAATTATATATCAGTTAGAGGAATATCTATTCAGAAGACATTCTAACACAACTGCTGTCTCCAGTGCTGTCTTACATCGATGCCTTCATCGAGCAGATCTTTAATGACTTGCACGCACAGAAGTTTCATCTTGACGCTCGACTGTGAAGAACAGCAGTGAAGAAAATGACTTACTGTACGTTTTGTGCAGAGAGCATCAAGACAAACAACACAACACCTATTAAAGAAGTTAGACTTGCCATTCTAGCTAAGGTGCTCATTTCTGCAAGGACCCAGTCAGGACAGTCGAGATCTCCACAAAAGCGGAACCTCTAAAATACGGCTCTGTGTAGTTAATGCTGCTCAATGTGAAAGCACGCACGTGATGGAGATTTACCGCTGATTACAGAATGGCTTTCTGACAAGATGCGCGTTAAATATCGCATGCGATTTATCGTGCAGCCCTAGTTTTGATCAAATGCAGCCTTCAAAAGGCTAAAAGAGACTTAATTAAAATGTACAATTAAAATGTTAAAATAAACATTTAAAAATCATAATGATCTCAAACTTTTGACAAGTAGCCTACTGTGACAGTTATTGTACAGGTAAAATAACGGAAAGCCTCACATTCAAGTTACAACGGCGGTAAAGTTAGTTTGACGTTTGACATTCATTATTTTAATTCCTAGAAATTAAGCCTTGTGCAACATAAAGGGCATATATTTATGTCTATCTGAGTTCATTTGGGCTCAAAACATAAAAGCTGCAAAGAGTTTAATTGGCAAAAAACCCGAATGTCTAATGAATGTCAAACGTCAAACTAACTTTACCGCCGTCAAGTACGGAATGGTCGCGTCAAAAATAAGGTGGAAACGTCGCCTTATACATTATATTAATGTTGATTAAAAAAAATACATCAAATATTTAAAAGCATTTTTTTAAATGGCTGGGAAGACAGAAGAGGGCGGGTGAGTCTGATTTCGACTCGAGAGAGGAAGCGTTCCGAAACTGACAGAGAAGACATGAGAGCTCGTGTTTTACTCTGCGCAGATAAACTGTTATGACCATGATCCTAAAACGGCAATATTTCTCTGTCCACATCAAAAGGAATTTGGCGTATCCTTGGCTTGTTTATGGAGCGTGCTTCCATTGCGTCTTTTGCTCTTATAATCCGAGATTAACTTTAAAACAAGGTAAGTTAACGTAAAATAAACTACAACCTTCCTCTGTAATCAGACTAATTATATACACTAGTCATTTACACACTTTTTGTTTCGGAAATGCACTTATACAGTAGACTTTAATTGTTTTAAATAATCAAATGAGGCAATAACTAAACATTCTATCTTTCTAGACAACATAACTTTATCCAGTTTTGTTTTTCCCCCAGATTATGCTCCACTTTTATACAACAGAAATTACAGTCATACAGTCTTATTCCATCAGGAAGGATCAATGAGTCTGTTTGTTGGAGGAATAAATAATGTTCTACATTTTGATGTAGGTAGTCGTCAGATTGTGGAGGTAATTATTAAACTGGAACTGGTTATTAATATGTAAATGTTATGTGACATTTTACAATGCAATTATAATTACTATAGGATTTTGCCATTTTCGTTGAAATAATTTACTCAATTTTAAAATAATAAATTTATATCAAATAATTTTATTTCAAATAAACAAATAAAAGGTAGGGTGTGAACTAGTGTTGCTTTCGTCAACGAAAATTATGACTAAATATCGTCGTCAACGAACCTTTATCACGTGACGAAAACGAGACGAGACGAAAATGCTGGTCATGTGACGATGACTATAATTAAATGTATAATGCAATATCGTTGACGAATAAAAACGAGACTAAATGTGGTTTACAAAATAAAAACTATGCTAAAATGTCTCTTCATAAACACTGATTTAGAAGACGAAAACCAAACAAAGTTAAGTCTGACACAGAGAAAGGGGCCGATGGCCGGCCAGCCTGGGTTCGTCTTTATTTAAATTTATGTGTGTGTACTTCTAACATGTTTGGTTGGCTAAACTTGACTAGACTAAAAAGAGTATGAACGTGACTAAAACTAATAAAAACTAAAATGACAGTTTCACACAAAGACTAGACTAAAACTAAAATTAAAACAGGCCGCCAAAAACAACACTAGTGTGAACCACTCATAAATTGGAGAAGTAACTCAGCATTGACTAAAATTATATTCTAACCCTGCACTTTCTGACCAATTCTGTTAAGGCTTAAATTAAGATCTCTAAATTTTAGCACTGGTTGTAATTAGTAAGTCTAGCCTATGTTAAATTATAGATTTCAGTAACTGTAGGCTGTGACGCACACAGACAGTTGTGTCCATATTGAACGTGTCTGCGAATGAAAAGGTCTATTTCAGGTGTCGATGAAAGATTTATTTCCACAGACAAGTCCAATCTGTTCCTATAGTTGCAATAAATAATTAAAATGTTAATTGTGTGATTGATAAGTGATAAAAAAATTATCTCCATGGTTGCTTTATACACATTTAGGTAAATAATTGTGTACACATAGTCTTATATTTTGAATTTAAAATAACTTCTACATAAATATTGCAAAGTGTTGAGATTTTGTGACCAAGATAATAATAAAATATTTAAATTTTTATATATTTTATTTATTTTTTAGAACTTTACTCTGAATCCAAACTTAAGGTGTGGGGAGGTGAGTTTTATAATTCTTTTGAAGAAGAGAGAGAAAAAAAAGAAAGGACAAATTGAGTTTTGTATTTTGACACTCTTACTGATATTCCTCCATCTATACAGAGCCCCTGTGAAAATGTAATCACAATAATTGAGAGATTTCAAGACTACACATTTGTATGTGGAACGAATGGAGATCAGCCAAAGTGTTGGAAACTGGTAAGAAATAAAAATACATAGCAACATCTTTGGCATAGTCTGCTACATATTTAGAAACGCAGAGCTTCTTCTAAACGTTGCCTTGCGGTTTACTTTTTGTAGTAAGAGCATACTGAGAAAAAAAGTGTAGCTCTCTGTTTGAATTTTGAATTTTAACTTGCATCATGTATAATTTTGAATGACACTTTATATGTTATTTTGTGCCTGCTCGCAACGTGCCTCATTCACCAATAATTTCATAAATCACCACCAGATTCACAACAGAAGCATGCGACATTTGATACTCACACTGTAAGATAAAACTGAAAAGGTACTGGTAATTTTCTGCAATGACATTATTTGTTAAAGCGATAGTTCACCAAAAAATGAAAATTACCCCATGATTTACTCACCCTCAAGCCATCAAGACTTTCTTCTTTCAGACGAATGCAATCGGAGTTATATAAAAAAATGTCCAGGCTAATCCATGCTTTATAATGGGAGTGGATGGTAGCCCAAAGTCCAAAAAATTGCACCCATTCATTATAAAATAAATCCACACGGCTCCAGGGGGTTAATAAAGG